GCATCGATCTACAAAGAATTTATGGACAAAACAGAAATGAAGGAAGCTTCTATTCATCTGCTAAAAAGAAAGGGTTCGGATCTGTGGCGGTCTTTACCATGGCCAAGACTGCCAACAGGGTCTGCATCTCTGTCCCTCTCCATCCTTTGATGCACACGAGCAGGGCCCCCCACGTGCTAAGGAACACAGCCCACCCATCCCTACAGTCTTTTGTCAATGAGCCATGAACAAACCGTACACAGAGAGAAGCTTCTTTTTTTTCTTCAATTTAATTGAAGTTACTTAGAAAAATAATCAGGCTTGAATGGCTTTTCCTGGAGGAAGGTTCATGAACATTTTCACGCTTTTGTTGGCAATGTAGAATTTCAGCTTTCTTTCTTGAACAGTACAGTAAGATACAGAGAGTTTTCTACAAGCCTTCTACTGCATACAAATATGTAAAAAAAAAATCACACTCCACAAAGATGTTAAATTATATGTCCATATGCCGTGATGAGCATGCTCATAAGAAAATAGTACGGGCAGCCCCTTCTGTACCCGACAAAGAATAGGAGGCGGCAGTTCGCCCGTTAATTGCCGAGGGTCAAGCTGGTTGTAGAAGATCACGCTGCCTGCTCGTACGGTCCAGTTGGTTGTGATAGGAAAAGGCTGGAGGAAAGACTGGCTGTGGGAACTTGGGGGAGTGATAAGGGAGGTCAGTCCTGCTGACACAAGCGGGCAAGGGCTTTCCAGTCACCAGGATCGCACAGAATGGGGCAGCTTAGACAGTGTGTGTCGGGGAGGACCAGGCTGTGACAGATCTGCTCTGAGCACCACCCACCAGGGACAGAGTCCCTCGGTTTCTGGCCAGAACAGGGACTTTTGCAGTCTCCACCTCAGCTCTGGTCCAGACCCCACTAGCTAAGGGTGCGAAGGACTCGCTTTTGTCCTGGGAAGTTTCTGCCAGCAGGGGTTAGACCCTTGTGCTTCCACACCTTTGCCACCAGGAGGACTGGTCCGACGGAAGTTTCTACTGCCCACTGCTCTCCTGCGCCAGCCAGGTGAACAGGCAGGACAGGGAGGCTCAGCCAGTGGACAGGAAGGAAGGAAGGTCCCCTCCGAGACACCACAGGTCAGCAGACTGCCCTTCTTCCCAGACCAGCTGGGAGGCAGAGAGAGGGGCGTCTGGAGAAGCTGCAGGAATTCAAACCCTGTGGCTAATACTCTAGAGTTTTCCAACTAAACGGAGCACTTAAGCAGGAATATCCTTGTAAATACCACCCTGTACCTGGTTTTGAAAACACAGCAGCGCCTCTGAAAAGTGGCTGAGAGATGGGACACCTGCCTGTACTTTCCTCCAGCTAAGCATGCAATAGAAAGCATTTTCCAAAGTTTTCAATAAAAAATTAAAAAAAAAGAAAGAAATCCAAGAACTTTGTTTTCCAGGCACATTTTCACTCATGGATCCTTTTAAACCAAGGACACAGAGAACTTTCTACATTCTGCCAAACAGTTGCATCAAATTTTTTAAAAATTTTTATGCCATTAGAAGATAAAATGTGAACACAAAACACAACAGGAGGAGAAAGAGCCCCTCACTGCAGAACCAGACTGCCGGGTCGTCCCCTGAAGGATACTCTTTCCCACTGGAGAGAGAGAGAAGGCATGAAAGAAGGCATCTGCACCGGGCACGGAGCGGCTCGCGCAGCTGATCAAAAACGGTACGCGACGCGGAAACACAAAACTTGGGACACCTACGTGAATTTCCACTTAAAAAACAAAAAGCACACGGTGAACAATTCCAAACTAGGGAATTGAAGGAGCAGTCGTCAAGCGATGAGCTACCTCGGCTCGCACTGAGCATCCTTAGGCTAGAACAGTAAGGGCACCAGCTGTAGCCTGTGCCTGTCCCCTCAGTCCTGCCCACACCACCCGAGACTGTTCTCCACTCCCTTTGGGAGGGAGGGACCCGTGTAACATTCAGGATTAGAACCATCGTGCTTAAGCAAAAGTTGAATTCATTTGGTGAAGTACCTCTGTTGCTGTAAACCAGGTGGAACTGTGGTGCTGTTTTATTTTGGGGAGGGAGACGGGTGATCAAGGAAGCAGTTTTTATCCTTGAAGACCTCAGATATGCCCAAGCAAGGTAACCAAAGAATATCTGTGGAACACTAGCTCTGTGAGATGATCTGCAAGGTAGAGGCATCCTGCTCACATAAGGTCAGGAAATGCTTGATTCAATCAGTGATGCGCTTAGGGATTCCCAACGCACAGCACAATCTCAAGGCTCTGAAAAGTCCTGCAGAAAGGAAACTGACTTCACTTTGTTTCCCAAGGGTATCTGACCACAAAACCTTTATTTTGCATCACACCAACTTGTCCCTAGAATCTGTGTTCTGTGAAGCACAGTATCAGGAAATGCTGGAAACCTGTTTCATCAGCAGAAGCCATGTTCCTGAGGACAGTGTCCCCTGACTGGAAATAGGATCCAGGGACAATTCCAGGGACAGCTGAAGTCTGTCACTTGGTAAAACACATTGCATAAACCTCTGTCCATCAAGGGTACAGTCGCTGTGTCCTTGGCAAAGGGGAGAGAGCATGGAAGAAGGTACACAACATTTCGTAAATAGCCTTGGCCACCCTCTCAAGTGCACGCCTCACTCACATTCAACAAAATAATTTCCTTGGTGAGACGTGGCGGCTGCTGCTCACTGAGCTGGCTGTGAGCTTTATGATACAATTTTAATAGTTTCTGTGAATAAATTATTCATTTTTGTTTGTTTAGAATATTCTCATCTCTGTGCTATACACCGCATCAAAAACAAAACAAAGCAAAACTGACCCACACCCCATCCCACCCTCCCCCTATTATTAGAACTATTATTATTTATTTACAGTATCTGCTACTGACTCATTCCCCAGCTATAAGAGGGATGTGGCTCAAACTTCAACCAAGCATCAGAAATGGCTGGACATGAGAAGTGTGTTAATTAGCAAGGTGCGGGAAATGGAATGTTTCCAGCCTTCCAAAGTAAAGGAGCATGGATTATGATCACAGAAGGCTGTCCTTGCTGCTGACTGCTGGTGGTCGCAAAGGTGCCTGCGGTCTCTCGGCCTCTGAAGGACTTGGGAGGGGCTCTGCACATGCATATGTGTACAGACACTCCACGTCTGAACTTCACAAGGAGTAAAAAATGCCAGACCCTTGCAAATCCTTGAATGTATGAGACCAGCCGCAAAATTTCAACCTTTTACATGGCAAAGAGTAGAAAACAACACTTCTGCCCAGAGACCTGAATGCTGGGCAGGAAATGACAGGAGGCAGCGGCTGGCAAATATTCCCCTTCCCTTACCCAAGGCAGACATCACCAGTTAATCACAGCATTCTTCCCTGCTGTGCCTGGCAAATCTCTTCTGGGGCTTAAAAGGCAGATACTACCAATAAACTGGAGTGAGCACATGAGAGGAAACATTTTTGTCATCTCCTGGGTTGGGCTAGTGAGCTTGGATTACTCACCAAGTTAAGTGGCCTGCTCCAAGCACGTGATTTTCAAATTTGGGCCATAGAAAAATGCAAATTTGTAGGGGTCAGGGACCTTCTGGGGTTGTTCATGAAGAGTCCAAGCCTCATGGTAAGTCCATGAATTTCAGGGGTTTGCTGATTGTTGAGCTGGATACTCTGTGTCCCTGTAAAGCTTCTTGAGGGCCAAGACTATTGGTTTTTGTTCACTGCTCTATCCACGTATCTAGGCCGAGCACATAGTAGTTGCTTAATAAATAAAGCAACAGCCACTTCACCTTCATCACAACTGGCACTGCCAGCTGGAAATTTCTGTAGAAAAGCCTATTCTATCAGACTGCTAATTCTGGTGGGAAAAAAAAAGCCACAATCAGCTCTCTCCTTGCAAAGATGGCTCTTTCCTTGGGTTAAAAAGAATCA